CAACATTGGAACATGTGATCATCTGTTCTGTTCAGGGCTCAAGCCACGTGGTCCTGTCCACCAATAAACAATCTTTCCATGCAGCCTCCATGTCTCCAGGGTCTTTTTCCCCACTTGGAGCCGAACCCAGAAGGACATTTCTTTCATCAAGGTCTTCTAGCCCACCCCCCTGCTCAAACAGGAGACCCAAGACCAGGGCTCTTCAACCTTGGCAACTTTACAACTTGGGGACTTCAACTCCCAGAATTCCTCAGCCAGTCCAAGTCATAAAGTTGCCAAGGTTGGGAGACCCCTGCCCTATGCAATTTCAGACACATGGCTGCCCAGTCTCTTCTTAAAGCCTGCAGTGATGAAGTGCCCACAACATCTGAAACCAAGCCCTTCCACTGTTTGATTGTTCTCACTGTCAAGAAACGTCTTCCCACTTTTAGATTGCTTCATACAGGATAGCAGGAATGAGTAGGAACATGGACATGAACAAAGGAAATGAGTACAAATAAATGGGGACAGTACGACAGGGACGGTAGGCACGCTGGTGCGTTTATGCATGCCCCTTTTAAGGACCACGGTAGACAGTTTAAGGTTGAAGCTGTGGGGGGTTTGAGGATGTAACAGTGGAGTTGGGTAGAGCATTCCAAGCATTGACCACTCTGTTGCTGAAGTCTTATTTTCTGCAATCGAGTTTGGAGCAGTTTACCTTGAGTTTGTATCTATTGTTTGCCTGTGTGTTATTGTGGTTGAAGCTGAAGTAGTCGTTGACAGGTAGGACATTGTAGCAGACAATTTTGTGTACCATGCTTAGGTCATAACGTAGGCGGCGTAGTTCCAGATTGTCCAAGGCCAAAATTTCAAACCTGGTGGCATAGGGAATTCTACTGTGAGTAGGAGAGTGGAGTGCTCTTCCCGTGGATTCCAGGCAGATGAGCTGTATTCAAGAATTGGTCTGGAAAAGGTTTTGCCTTCATGTTGCAGGACAAGAGGAACATAAAACACCTTGCCCATAAATAGCACCTCCAATTTCTTTTTACATGTTTGTTTTACAGCTGTCAAAACCATATCTGACCACATCTCTGACTTGCAGAAAAGCACAAACACACCCTGAATATANCTCAAGTTTGTAATTTAAGTTCAAGGAATGACAAGGTAGAAAGAACCTGGAATGTCGGAACAAAACTCCCTCTGGCACCGGCAAAAAAAAAAGTTTTAAAAATGGTGGGAGATATAATCCAACATATTCGGGGCCTCTAAGTGTCCTCACTTCATTCTGTGGGAAGCTCAGTGGCATTTAATGCACAAAGGAACAAAAATGGTAAGTTTCACCTCCTTCCCACTGATTAATGCAGGAAGTTCCGCTCAAGTTTTTTTGACTGTTTCTCAAGATCTATCCACGGATGCAGCATTGGAAAACTACCATGAGGAACACCAAACAGTCAGAACCCCTGACCGGAGGGGGTGATCATCTCCTGCACCACCAAGTGCAGCAGGTTGTTCTGCTCCGCCGTCAGCAGTGGCCACAGTTCCTTCTGCAAAACCTTCAGTGATTCCAAGTCTTTTTCCTGGCAGGCCATCACGGCGGACTGGAGGAGCAAGAAAAGCTCTGGAGGGACGTACCCCGAGGAGGCATCCAGAGCTTCCCAAGAGTACTTCTCCAAGATCTGGGCGTGCTCGGGCAACAGCTTGGACGGCGGAGGCTGCAGCAGGAGCAAGAGCAGCAGTCGGGTGACCTCGCAGTGGAGCACGTGGTCGAGGAAGGCGCCGGGCAGCGAGGGGGCTCCGCCGCAGGACGAAGAAGAGGAGGAGGATGAAGAAGAGGCAGGGGCGTTGGTCGAGGGCCCGCCGCCCCCTTGGGCCAGCTGCTGGGCCTGCGTGAACATCGCCAGGGCACCGTCGTAGTCGCGGCTGAGCAGCAGGCAGGAGGCCACGTCGCGCAGCCCGTGCAGGGCCTCCAAGGGCAGGTGGCCCGCGGCCAGCAGGTCGGCGGCGCGCAGGAAAGCCGGAACGGCTTGGCTCGGTTCGCCGGCGGAGCGCAATTCGTTGCCCAGCTCCAGCCACAGTCCGGCCGCCAGTGCCGGCTGGCCCAAGTCGACGTGGAGGCGGGCGGCAAAGGCCACGCAGCCGTGGGCGGCGGGCAGGTACTCGGAGAGGCCCAAGCCGGGGCCTTGCCGCAGACGGAGCTCCCGCTCGTGGCGCAGCCAGAGACGCGCCGCCTCGGCCAGCGCTGCTGCCTCTCCCGCCGGGTGGCCCAGGCTCTGGGCGCAGCGCGCCACCGCCAGCTGGCACCAGGCCGCGTAAGGGAGGCTTTCTTGGGCGCGTA